TCTTCTGCCCTTTGTTGTAGATCTTTGCTGTAGTTGTAACCTTCACACGTACTGAAGTTCAGGTGGAGCTCTACAGAGTTTGGAGTTGTCCAGCTGCGTCTGGCTTAGGTCTGGCTGTTGTGCTCAGCTCCTTCCTGCTGCGGACCTGGGCTAGGACTGGGTCTGGGGGTTCCCGGAAGTGGGCAGCAATTCCTACTGGTTGGGAGGGGTGGGGACTTACGGCAGAGTGGTGTGGGGCGGCCCGAGGGAATGGGAGAGGGTCCGGCCATGCTGCGCCTGGGCTGGGACTGGTCCTGCCAGCGCAGGGTAGCAGGAAGCTCTCCACACACTCACTGGACCTCGGCTAGGACTGGATCAAAATGGAATAATTTTTTTTTTTTTTGTTCTTCATTGCTTTTAATGAAGTACATGCAGTTGTCTCTTTAGAGAAATTCAGATTTATTTTTTAAACAGTCTCTATCTGGTGGTCTTGATAGAGAATTTACATGGTATTTCAGGCATATGAAGAGTTTCATAGACTGTAAGGTACATTTGTACTGTTTTTTGCTGTTAATTTGAAATATCTTTTGGTTTCATTTTATCAATCTGTGTAGTGATTGTTAAAACCATGCACAGCCTAAATATCAGTAACTACATTTTACTGCTAATAGAGACCTGACAAGTAGCTTAAACAAGGTGTGTTTCTCACATAAAACTTTGAGTATATGCTGTCCTCACATTGCTGTACAGTTATTTGTGCTTTCTTATCAATCTTCTCTTTTGAATCAGAGCATGCTTCATGATTTCATAGAGTTGATGAAGTTCCAGCCGTCACACCTGCTTCACTTATGGCAGGAACAGGGTGTCCCTGTGGGATAGTGTAGAACCAGCCTGCCCTAAATCCTATGCAGTGATTTCTAGCTTCTTTACCATCTGAACAGAAAGTTAGGAATTACTTTCAAGTTTTCACATTCTCTTGATCAGTTCATACCTATGATTCTGTTAATAAGAAACGAAACAAAAATAGGAATTATAGGAGTAATCTTTTTTTTTTGACACAGCTTCTAAAATGTAGCAGTGCTGGATCACTTTGCTTTTCTGAATTTATTCCCCAGAGGCAATCATTTGCAACTCTTAGGTCTTGTGATTTTTACCTCCATTTTTCAAAATTTTTTAAAAAATCTTTTATTTATTTATTTATTTATTTATTTGGAACAGGGTCTCACTACCAGCTCTAGTGATCCTCCTGTCTCAGCCTCCCCAGCGATGGGACTACAGGTGTGTGCTACCATGCCTGATTTCGGTGGCTGGCTAATTGAGCCTGGGGTTTTGGGGTGGGTATAGCATGTGGTGCCAGGGATCGAACCCAGGTTCTTGCACTTGCCAGGCAGGCGTTTAGACTGCTGAGCTATCTCCCCAGCCCCAACCTCCATGTTCATAGGTAATGTTTTTCCTTTAATTTGTAGATATGACCAGTTGGTTTAGTAAAGCCAGAACACAGGGATGGCCTTATTATCTTGCTCTTCAGCACATTCATTAATGTACCTTTAGCCCATTTTATTCATAGTCTCTTTCCTTTAAATCTCTTTCTCCTCCTGGTTTCTGCATGTTTTTCTTATTTTTTACGCTCTCTAGAGAATTAGGAATTAGTTTATATTGTTTCCTTAGGAGAAGGGACCTAGGGGAGGTTTTTATATGATTTGCTTTTGACTGCTTTCTTTTCACGTTTTAGAGGTGCCTATAATTCCCGTGGTCCCTTCAAGCACAAGTCAGTTTGTTCTTACGCCCCAACTACTGCTGACCTAGGTTCAAGTTTCTCAAGTCTGTTAAGTCAGAGTTTATAATTCCCAGCTACCCAGTGTAATAATGTCTCCATCCTTTCTGCCCACATGGGTTCGGATCTTTTAAGACAAAAAGATTTGTCCTGTTATTTTAGTGAGGTTTTGCAGGTTGGAATAGAAGTCAATATGTTTGCAATCTGCCATATCTTAATTAGAAGTCTCAAATTTCATTGAGGTTTTTTTAACATAATAAAAGTACTAACTGTGGAAGATGATGAAAAGTCTATTTTGTAGTGAATATTCTGCACTAGAAATAATTTCATTGCATGATTTACTTTGGCAAATTAAATTTTTATTTTTAAATTTCAAATTAAAAATTTCAGCTTTTTAACAAATGTCTTTTTAAAATGTATTCAGTACAGGGTCTGCAGGGTCTCACTCCGTGGATCAGACTCATAGTGATCCTCCTGTTTTTACCCTCCCAAGCGCTGGGATCACAGGCGCGCACCACCACGCCCAGTCTCAGTCCCTGTATCAGCACGCCCTGGGGGCGGGGCTGGCATGGCGAGCTAGGGGTGGAACCCTGGCCCAGCGCCTGCCTGAGCTGTCTGGCTGGCCCTAACAAATGTCTTTTTAAAGGTGTTTTAAAAATTTAGGCACATTTGGGAGGACATTTTCACTTTATTTTTTATTTTTGTGTTTTTTAAAAAAGTTTTTTATTTCTTTGGTTCAGGGTCTCACTACTTAGTTCAGACTCATAGTGATCCTTCTGTCTCAGCCTCCCCGTCCCTGGGATTACAGACATGTGCTGCCATACCTGGTTTCAGGGTAGACACGGCATGCCTGAAGAGAACTGAGTTCTTGGACTGAGGCACCATTGTTTTTATTTATATGGAAAAGGATTTATAGAAGTGACTATCTCTTAATGCCTGGAACCAAAAATAAGTGCTTCAGATATTAGATTTTCTTTTCAATATTTTGGATTATTTGCATTAAATTTTTCAGATTGAACACAAGTCTAAATGTATTAATTTTTATTTAATATGCACTGTGGATGCACAGGCAGAAGGTAATTTTATTTATTACAAATGTGCATTAGTGTCTGTTGCATTTTGATGTTCATTTATTTTGGTTTGGTGTTACTGCAGCAGGGCTTCCTTTGTCGTTCAGGCCAGCGTTCGCAGCGACCCTTCTGAGTTAGCTTCCCCAATGGAGTGGTGGGTCACAGGCCTGCCGTCATGCCCAGCCTTGCATTTTAAGTCTGACCCACCAGCCAAAGGTAGGTGTAGGATTTTCCACTTCTGGAGTCTCATGGATCATCAAGAATTTTCGGATTTTGGAGCATTAGAATTTGGATTTTTGTGTTGTAGATACTTAATTTACACAATAAAAACAATGGAAAAGACAAGACACAGGTGATTTTACTTTTGTAAATAAAAAAGACATACTTAATTGCTAGCAATGTACGGCTTTTTAGTAGTATGACTGACTTATAGTTGTTTTTTACACTTATTTATTAAATGCAAAGATATTTTTAGTTTGAGGATTTTTTTCCCTTTTTTGGCAGAACCGGGGATTGAACTTAGACCCTTGCACTTGCCAGGGAAGCGACTGAGCCATCTCCCTGGCCCCTAAAGATTTTTTTTTTTAATTTTA